TCCCTCTTTCTTGGGTGTGGGTAGATCCATCCCCCAGGCATTCAGTCAAAACTTCCGTCCAGATCTGTGCGGACAACTTGTTGTGCGGGGCTGGCGGGAGCTGGTCGCTCAGATCTGTGTTGGTAACTTGTGGCGCTTTTCGGCCTGGCTGCGTTCTCCTGGACTGTGGGTTGCAAAGGCGATGGGAGAAGCGCAATATCTGAACCAGAGTTCTGAGGGAATAAAGTCCCTGATCCTCTGGCCAGTTACACTTCCCAAGTGGGGCAGCACCACAACCTGCCTTGGTACACCCTCCTTGGGCTACCCCCACTGTCCAACCAGTCCCATTGAAATCAACCTGGTACCTTGGTTGGAAATGCAGAGATGACTTGCCTTCTGCATGTCTCTCACTGGGAACTGGGCTCCGGAGCTGTTCGTGTTAGCCATCTTGGTAGGAGTGCCCCTTAACGTGTTTTGACATCAGATACGTAGTAAAATGATTACTGCAGCCAAGCAAATGAACGTTATCTGTCACCTCACAGTCATCTTTTTTTTGTGTTACGAGTACCAAAACTACTCTTTTGGTGAATTATTGTATACTAACTTTGTAGACCTGTTCATCCTACATATTTAAAAGTTTGTATCCTTTAATCTGCATCTCCCAGTTTCCTTCTTCCCTGTGACCTTGTTAACCAACCACTGATCTTCCTCTCTATGTATTTGACTTTGTTTATATTATGTATATATAAATCAGATCTTACACTATTTTTCTTTCTAGGTCTGGCTTAGCTCACTTAGCATGATGTCCTTGAGGTTTATTTATGTTGTTGCATATGTCAGGAACTCCTTTTTAAATGTGGAATAATATTTCATTGTATGGTCATGTGCTGCGTAACAATGTTTCAGTCAACAGCAGACCACATATACAATGGTGGTTTCATAAGATTTTAATGGACCTGAAAGATTCTTGTTACCTAGTGATATGATAGCTGTCATAATGTTGTAGCACAATATATTACTCAGTGTTTGTGATGATGCTGATAGAAACAAGGCTTTTGTGCTACCATTCATATGACAGTATAGAACATACAATTATGTACAGTACCCAGTACTTGATGATTATAGTAAATTATGTTACTGGCTTATGTATTTTATACTATTTATTGTTTTTTAGAATTTATTCCTTCTATTTATAAAAAGAAAGTTAACTATAAAACAGCCTCTGGCAGGTCCTTAGGTGGTATTCCAAGATAAAGCATTGTTATCAGGAGATGATGTCTCCATACATGTTATTTTCTTGCTCTTGAAGACCTTGCAGTGGGACAGTATGTGAAGGTGGAAGATCCTGATCCTATGTAGGCCTAGGCTAATGTGTGTGTTCATGTCTTTATTTTTAACAAAAAAGGTTAAAAAGGAAAAAAAGTTAGATAGAAAAAAAGCTTATAGAATGAGGTTATAAAGATATTTTTGTACAATTGTACAATGTGTTTGTGTTTTAAGCTAAGTGTTATTACAAGAGTCAGGGTTTAAAAAATACTAAAAGGCTTATAAAGTAAAAAGATTGTAGTAAGCTAAGTTTATTAGGAAGACAGAAAATTTTTGTATGAATTTTGTGTAGTCTAAATGTACAGTTTATGAAGTCTACAGCAGCATACAGTAATGTCTTAGGTCTTTACTCACTACCGTCTGCCTTACTCCCTTCCTCCCCGTCCCTTACCCAGAGTAACATTTAGTCCTGTAAACTTCATTCATGGGAAGGGCTACAGGTGTATAATTTAAAAAATATTTTATGATGTTTTTACTATACATTTTCTATGTTTAGATGTACAAATACTTAGTATTGCATTACTCTTGCCTGTAGTATTCAGTATAGTGACATGCTGTACAGCAGTAGTCCCCAACCTTTGTGGCACCAGCGACCGGTTTTGTGGAAGACAATGTTTCAACAGATTGGGATCGGGGTAGTTTCAGGATGAAACTGTTCCACCTCAGATCATCAGGCATTAGATTCTCATAAGGAGCATTCAACCTAGATCCTTCACATGTGCAGTTCACAATAGAGTTTGCGCTCTTATGGGAATCTGATGCTGCCCCTGATCTGACAGGAGGTGGAGCTCAGGTGGTAATGCTCACTGGCCCACTGCTCACCTCCTGTTGTGTGGGTCAGGCTTCTGCTATACAGGTTTGTAGCCTAGGAGCAATAGGCCATACACACAGCCTAGGTGTATAGTAGGCTATACCACCAAGGTTTTTGTAAATATACTCTGATGTTCCCACAATGATGAAATTGACTAGCAATGCATTTCTCAGTGTATCTCTGCTGTTAAGTGATACTTGACTGCATGTATGTGTATGTATATATACACCACAATGTCTTTATCTTTTTATTTTTATTTTACTTTAGGGGAATACTATATCTGGCATTTCTCCCCATGTTATCCCTCCCTACCCCCCACTGTCTCTCCCCTATGCCCCTCAACTGCTCCCAGGGTGTGATGCTCCTCTCCCTGAGTCCACGTGTTCTCATTGTTCAACACCCACCTATGAGTGAGAACATGCGTACACCATAATTTCTTTACCCGTTTATCCATTGATGGACACTTAAGGTTGTTTCCATATCTTGGCTATTGTGAATGATGCTGCAAATAAACATAGAAGTACAGATGTCTCTATGAGGTGCTGGTTTCATTTTCTTTGGATATATACTCAGAAGAGGGATTTTTGGGTCATATGTTAGTCATATTTTTAGTTTTTTGAGAAACTTTCATACTGTTTTCCATAATGGTTATACCAATTTACATTTCCACAAATAGCATACAAGGGTTTTCTCCACACCCTGGCCAACAGTTGTTATCTCTTATCTTTTGGATAATAGTGGTTCTAACAGATGTGAGGTGGTATCTTATTATAGTTTTAATTTGCATTTTCATAATGATTAGTGGTGTTAATCACTTTTTCTTGGGCTTGTTGGCTGTTCTTATTTATTTATTTATTTATTTGAAAAAAGCCTCTTCAGGTTCTTTGCCCATTTTTAAATCAGTTATTTGTTTTCTTGTTATTGAGTTGTGTGAGTTCCTTATATAGTTTGGATATTAACCGCTTACCATATACAGGGTTTGCAAATATTTTTCTCAGTCTGTAGTCTGCTTTTTCATTCTGTTGAATGTTTTCTTTTTATTTTTAGGAAAGTTTTCATTTTGATGTAGTCTCACCTGGATATTTTCGTTTTAGTTGCATGAGTCTTTGGTGTGATATCAAAAAAATTATTGCTTGAGGTCACTATTAAGGAACTTTTGCTTTTGTTTTCTTCTAAAAGTTTTATAGTTTTCAGGTCTCATGTTTACATCTTTAATCCATTTTGAGTTTGTTTTTGTGTATGGTTTCAGATAAGGGTCCAGTTTCATTCTTTTACATGTGGTTCTTCAGTTTTCCCAACACTATTGAAGAGTTTAGCCTTTTCTCATTGTGTTTTCTTGGTGGCCTTGTTGAAAATTAGTTGACCATATATGCTTGGGTTTCTTCTGGGCTTTCTGTTGTGTTTCATTGTTCTGTTGATCCTCATGTCTGTCTGTATGCCTGTCATTACAGTTTAGATTACTATTGCTTTGTAATGTAATTTACAGTCAGGAAGTGTGATGCCTCCAATTTAGTTTTTCTTTCTCCAGATTGCTTTGGCTATTTAAAGGTTTTTGTAGTTCCATCCAAATTTTAGAATTGTTTTTTTCTATTTCTGTGAAAAATGGTAGCAATTGCATTGCGCATGTCACTTTGGATAGTATGAATGTTTTGACAGTGTTAATTTTTACAACCCATAAACATGGAATAGCTTTCTATTTATTTGCATCTTCTTCAGTTTCTTTAATCAGTGTTTTATAGTTTTTAGTACATAGATCTTTCACTTCCTTTGTTATATTCCTAAGTATTCTTTTGATGTTATCATAAATAAGATTTTCAAAATTTCTTTTTAACACAGATTGTTATTGATGTGAAGAATGCAACAGGTTTTTGAATGTTGGTTTTTGTATCCTGCTACTTTTCAAGGATGTGGAACAAGGAGAGCTCACATGCATTGCTGATGGGAGGGGCAACCACTTTTGGAAAACAATTTGGCATTCGTGCTAAAGTGGAACATATGCTTACTCTGTGACTTAGCAGTTTCACTCATGGGCTTATACTTACCAGTAATTCACATAAATGTGCAGAAGGCCTACACATGAATAACAGCATATAATCTGTAGTTTCCAAAAATTGGAAATCACTCCAATGTTTATCAACAGTCGATTAGATAGATATTAAAATAAATAAATACAAATATCATTCAATAAACATACACAGTAGATTGGATGCGAGAGAATACAGTTCAGCAAGGACTTCGGACAATGATAAATGAATTGTAGGTATACCTTTCAGTATTGGTGAACCTAGTAAACAGAGGTACAAATAAGCAAACAAATAATAGATGCTGTAAGAGTTCATTTCTGTGCATTTCAAAAACAGGTAAAAATAAATGATTAGAAATCAAGGCAATGGTTAACTTGGTGGAGGGATGGAAATAGTGATTGGGAGTGGACACCAGGGAACTTTTAGATTGGCATTGTTATATTTTTTGTCATGGATGATGGTTACATGGGTCTTTGCTTTATAGTAACTTGTCTGTAGATTTATGTTTGTGTACTTTGTGGTGGTTACAAGGGTCTTTATGATAATTTATTTGAACATTTATGTTTATACTTTTCTGTATATTAAAATTCATAATAAAAAGGTTGAAAGGATGGCTGTTGGGGGAGGTTTTGAGAAGAAACATGAATATCATTTCTTGGCCTTTAGACTTTTCAACCGATTATATTTTTTATTACCTTACCAAACAGAATGAAAAAGCAAAAACTATATCAATAAGTTATGCAGCTTTTACATTGAAGAGTATAATGTAAAAACTGTTAATTCTTAAGTTGTTCACTGTGTTTTTTTCTTCAAAGTTTTTAGTCTCAGAATGGAATTTAATGTTTTTTTGTTTGTTTTAGGAGGTGCTAATGATGCTGGATAACTATGTAAGAGATTTCAAAGCATTGATTGACTGGATTCAGCTTCAGGAAAAGCTAGAGAAGACAGATGCTCAAAGCAGGTAATGAGTTCTCTGATCTCAATATTTCTATCATACAGCAGTTTTCAATAGCAGTCATTGAAAATGACAATGGACTTGACCTCATATTGACTTGAAACTTGTAAAAATCTAAAAATCAGGTGCTGCATTTTTTAATTCAATTAAGTAACATGTTTATTCGGTATTTATCAGTGAGTATTAATTGTTTATTACTTTATTCAGTACAGAAATTTAATTGTTGAATGTGACACATTTAGTTTCATGGAATTTTGAGCCTAAGTGTGACTGAAAATAGAACTAAGTATAAAAAACTATTATGGTTCTTCAGAGAAGGACAAATCTCTTTTGGAGGATAGATCAGGGAAGATTTCCGGAGGATGCAGAAGAAGTGTTTCAAGGATGGGATGCATTTTACCAACCAGTTGGCCATTTCAGTGAAGGGAGTAAATTCAAACAGCTATGTAAGTGTAGGGCATGTGCGAAGTCAAAGTAATGTAGGGAAAGATATAGTATTTCTTTTTAATGTATTAGGCAATGAGGAAAATTGATGATTTTTGATTAGGGGAATAATATGAGATGAAAGCTTCTTTAGAAAGATTCATTTAGAACCAGCACACAATATCTGAATGCTGTGTGCCAAGCTCTAGGACTGTTGTGGTGAAGAGGACAGATGCAGTCCCGCCCCTCATAAAGTATATAGTGCATGCTATGGTCTGAATGTGCCTTCCCAAAATTCATATGCTGAAATTTAATCATGTGATAGTATTAAGAGGTGGGACCTTTAGGAGGTAGTTACATTGAGAAGGTGGAGCCCTCACGAATAGGATTAGTGACATGTAAAAGAAATGGGAGCTGTTACCCCTTCCACCCTGTGAGGACACAGCTAAAAGATAATCTTTATAAGGAACAGGGCCTGTTTCAGACGTTGAATCTGCTGCACCTTGATCTTGTACTTCCCAGCATCCAGAACTATAGAAACACATTTCTTATTGTTGTTGACAAATTACCAGTTGTAAGGTATGTTGTAGCAGCCTGAATGGACCAAGTGCATTTCTAACAGGAAAGGCTGATGTTAAGTAAGTATGAATGTGCCCAGTGTCATCAAGAAGAAATACAGTTTACTCTAGGAGTATAAGAAAAAGCACCCTTAGCCAGTTTGCTAAGTCTAGGAAGGCTTCCCTGAGGAGGTGACATTTAAATTGAGACATAGTTGTTAAGCAGGAGTTAGACAAAGAGAAAAGAGTAATTTGAGATAATGCTAATAGTATGTGTAATGTCTTTGAAGTGGAAGGGAGCACAGTGTAATCAAGGAATTTAGAATTTAGTAGGGCGGAAGTGAAAAGAACATGTAGGGGAAAAGTGGCATGAAGTGAACCTAGAGAGCTAGTATAGGACCATGTTGTGTAGAGGTCTGTAGAAATGATAAGGGATTTAGATTTGACTTTAAGCCAATAAAGGGTTTTAAAGTAAGAAAGTGACATATCAGATTTATGTTTTTAAAAGATCATTTTGGCTGCCATGTAGGAAGGTTGAGATACGGCAATGTAGTTTAGAGATGATGACTACCCAGATTAAGGTAGCAGGGAGAATGAGCTATTCCAGTGATAGGTTATCTAATGGAATTAGTATTATTTTGGTTATGTACAAAGGCAAAAGAGCAGTTTAGTTTAGACATGTAAGTAATTCCTAAACTCTGGCAAACTTGCCAAGTCACTTGGAGCTGCAAGGCTGCTCCCCCACCCTGACCAGAGCCAACAAGCCTCTCCTGCCTCTTTGCCTTGGATTTAATCTTGGTTCAATCTTACTGCGTGGAACTATCCAGTAGAGAAGACATCTTTTGTCTCATACTGATGTGTCAGCCGTATGGGCAGGCAGAACCAGTAGGGTAAAGGAATTCCAAGAGAGAAATCCAGAAGGGCTGGATTCCTGGGAAACCAAATCCAACGAAACTAAGATAGGTTGATCCTTTTAACAGTTTTGTTTCTCAAAGTAGAATTTTTGATATATTTTTTAGTGCCTACTTCATTCACAGTGCCTAGGCGGGTCAGGATAAAAGTCTTTGTACTAAGTAATTTTACCCTTACCCCTTGGTGATTGGATCTGTGGTTTTATTCTTTCACTGGGTTGAACCAAGCTCAGAGATCATCATGCTGATTAGGGACATGTAGCTATATCTCCCTTGTGACAATAAGCAGAGTAAAGCAGGTTGGATAAGAAATGGAATAGATTTACAGAGAGAAACAGGACTTATGTGGCCTCTGAGAGCCTATACTGTGTCTAATCCTTGTGAGCCCTGATTCTAGTAACCCCCAACTTTTGGATGTCTTTGACCTTGTACAGTTTATATCCTTACAATAAAATTTTCTTTTCTTTTCACTTTTATTTAACTTGATTGCGTTTCTATTTGTTGCATCCAAAAAAGGTCTATAATGTAATCACCAATGCATTAAAAATAGATTCTTTTTTTGTGCCTGCAAAATTCAATCACCTATTGGTGGCTGTGTTGAGGATTGTATTGAGAAAGATATAGAAGCCGAACCCAAGCTTAACAGAATGATTACCATTCCTCTCTTGGCACTATGGTTCAGAAATATACCTGAGGCATCGCCCCTCCTCCCCCCTCTTTTTGTAGACAGAGTCTCACTCTGTAACCCAGGTTGGAGTGCAGTGGTGCCATCTTGGCTCACTACAACCTCCACCTCCCACTTTTAAGCAATTCTCCTGCCTCAGCCTCCCGAGTAGCTGAGATTACAGGTGCCTGCCACCATGCCCAGCTGATTTTTGCATTTTTAGTAGACACAGAGTTTTACCATGTTGGTCAGGTTGGTCTCAAACTCCTGACCTTGAGTGATCTGCCCACCTTGGCCACCCAAAGTGCTGGGATTACAGGAATGAGCCACCATGCCCGTCCGAGACATCCCTTTTACTTTCACCAGTTATCAGCATTTCTCTTCTTTGCCTCATGAGACAGCTCCGAGATACGGAAAGCAGTCTTAAATGCTGTATAGATGGCATTATCCATCTTGCATTCTTCAAATCATGCATCAAAATTTATTTTGGCTAGCCTTGAGATTTAAATGTAAAAACTGAAGTTGTATGTGTTTAAAGAAGAAAATATAGATAAATACTGATGTATTTGTTTTACATCTGAGGTCTTTGTAAGACAAAGGCAGACACCACAAAGAAAAATTTTGAATACCCTTGATTGAATAGGAAGAAAACAAATGTTTCCAAATAGAAAGGAAAAATTAAAGGCAAAATAGTTGTATCACCAATGCAAATGGATTTTTAGCCATAAAAGTAGTAGTAAGCTATTGCAAATTAATCAGAAAATGGTGCAAATCTCAGTGGAAGAAACGAGGCAAAGATACCAACATGTGCATCCCAAATGAAGAAATTTAGATGGTTGGTTAAAAAGTTTATTTTCATTAGTAATTATAATAAACATATAATTTACAAAACAAAGACAATTGAATACCATTTTGCCCATGAAATTTTTAAAAGCAGATACTAACAGATGGCAAGATTGAAGGGAAATGGAGAGTAAGACACAGGGATACCTGTGGGATTTATGGGGATTGGAGTGAGGGCATGTTACACATCCTGTCAACTGATTGGTTGTGGGGCCAGTGAAGGAGAAGGAGTAGACATTAAGTTACATTTCTTTGATTTCCCAGCAAAGAGCAGTGAAATCTTTATATTCCTGCTCTCATGAGTAATTAAGAGGTAGAGGAAGGACACTTTATATTTTCCCACTCATCATTTAACCGTTAGCATATTCTTTCTCTTGATACCTGTTTCACAAACTTCTCCAGGGTATCAGAGACAGTAGATTGAAGTAGTATCATTGCATTTTTAACATTTTTTAAGCTGGGTATATGGAAGCTTATAAATAATAAGTAGTGTATCTCATATCCCTGTAACCCCATGACCTTTTTGAGGTAATTGGAGTAGTGTTGCTATGCTGCAGTCATTAGAAAATCCTGAATCATTTATCGACTATGATTTCTCACTGGTAGTGTGGTAACTTTCTGGTAATCAATGCTCTAGAGAAAATTTTGCACATCTTGTGATTTTTTTTTTCAGTTGAAAAGTAGGATTATTTTTTCACCCACTAGCAGCCAAGAGAAAAGATTATTTGTTTCTCCCTTTTCTCTGTTAATTTAATCTGGTTTGTATATTGAATTGGCAGACCAACATCATTGGCATGGGAAGTAAAGAAGATGTCTCCAGGACGTCATGTGATTCCAAGTCCATCAACAGATAGAATAAATGTAACGTCAAATGCTCGACGAAGCTTAAATTTTGGGTGAGACAAACTAAGATGAAACTACTAGGAGTTGCATTACAGTGAATTATTTTCTTAGATGTTATGGTATTATGAATCTGATTTTCTACTATAAAAATGTCCATGCATATGTTATGCAGAATACTGTATACAGGTTCCAGCACTTAGGAGGGGAACACTGTGTGTTGGTTAGCAATCCTGGGGAGGACTCTAAACATCTCATCAAATCAATTTCTGCTAAGGTTCCTAGCTTTGTTGGAAGGTTTTACATAAACCCGGTTGCTAGAGGAGGAGTTTGGTGAGTCATACACTGACTTGCACAAGTCGGGTAAAGTAATGTTATTACTCACAGGTAGCCAGCAAGAATCAACAGAAGCTTAGGATCCATGGCAAAATTGTCCCCCAGGACTCAGGAAAGCTAACCAAGGGCATGGAGTTTAACTTATGGGAGTTCCACTTATTACCACAGCCAAAAGACTCCAGAAGCACCCTGCTCTGGGTTTTAAACACCTATGTCACTCAGATTACAGAGTGCAAGCGTTGGAGGACATTGTCTTCTACGGGGATAAGGACAAAGCCTGGGCCATTGCGGGTAGTTCCTTCTTAATTCAAGATGTTGCATTCTTGGTACATTTTGCCTGAAAATTGCAAGCCAGAGGGGGAAGAGCTGCGTTTACCAAGGGATCTGTCTTCCTGCATTGTGGATATGTTTGAAATTGTCTAAATAAAAACACCGGTAATCCTAGCACTTTGGGAAGCCGAGGTGGGCGGATCACTTGAGGTCAGGAGTTCGAGACCAGCCTGGCCAATGTGGTGAAACTCCATCTCTACTAAAAATACAAAAATTAGCTGGGTGTTGTGGCACACACTTGTAATCCCAGCTACTTGATGGGGGCATAGGTTGCAGTGAGCCTAGATCACACCACTGCACTCCAGCTTGGGCAACAGAATGAGACTCTGTCCCAAAAAAAAAAAAAAAAAAAAGAAGTTAAAATCCAGGAGATTAAAGTTTAGCTTTTAGGATATGTAATATATTCAAACATAAATAGTAATTCAGAGATTAAAATTGACATATTTCATTCCAAATATTTTATAACACGAATTAGCAATTTCCTTTGCAACAGATCTAAATATTAATATATATCATACGTTGTGTTACTGTCATACAAATTACATGATTTCTACATTACAAGCTCGTCAACACAGTTTTAAAATTACTGTTTTACGCAGTTGTATCTCTTTAATCAGATAGGAGAAGAAAAGAGTTGCAAACAAAAACTACATTTATATAGTCTACCTGTATAGTTTCCTTTTCCAGTCCTTTGCTGGAGTCTTTATTTCTTCGTATGGATTCAGATTACTATCTTTTGTCCTTTCATTTCAGCCTGTACTCCCTTTAGTGTTTCTTGTTGGGCAGGTCTGTTAGTAACAGATTTTCTCAGTGTCTTCATTTATCTTTCAGTTTTTGAAGGGTAGTTTTGCAGCACGTAGACTTCTTGGTTAACAGCCCTTTCTTTCAGCCCTTTGTTTCCTGACTGCCTTCTGAATGCTGTGGTTTCTTATGAGGAATCAGCTGTTATTGAGGATCCTTGACTGTGATCCATCACTTATCTCTTGATTCTTTCAGGATTGTCTGTCTTTGGCTTTTGTTCCTCTGACTATGATATCTCTATGTGTGGATCTCTGAGATTATCATACTTGGAGTTTGTTCAGTCTCTTGGGTATGTATTTAATGTTTTTAATCAAATTTGGGAAGGTTTTGCCCATTATTCCTTTAGATGTTTTTTTCTGCCCCTATTACTCTCTTCTCTCCATTGAAAGTTCCACTATGCACGTGTTCGTACTCTTGATGCGATGCTGTCCCATAGGTCTTTGAGGCTCTGTTCATTTTTCTTTTGTTTTTTTCTTTCTTTCTTTCTCTCTTTTTTTTTTTTTTTTTTTTTT